GCAGCTTGCTCACTTCGCAAATGTAGCAGCTGTCTTAAGCATAGGTTGCTGAACCAAAGTGTAAAATGATCTCTTTTTTCAAAGCTAAAAAAAAATTTCGTCACAGCTCCCATAATGTTCAAATATATTTGTTGAAATATTTCAGCAAGGGAAAAATTTTTGATTTAGATACACGTTGGTGGACGCCGCTGTGAATTATTCTGAGATGTTTATCGTCTTTTGTAGTGTTACGCCAGGAACTGAAAGGGTTCTAAATTTGGATCTACATAATGCACTGATTTAAAAGTAAAATTTTCTATCTCCAAAGAGAAAAATTTCCTCCAAGTTTTATGATGCGTTGATCACACCCGAAGAAAGAAAGAAATTTCAGCAGGGAAAATTTAGCTTTTACCGCGCGCAATCATGAAATCATTGTGAGATATTTATCATCCGATTCTGTCCTCTGTAGTGTCACGGCAAGAACTGAAAACATAATGTGTTGGTGGCTATAAGCCTAGAAGCATTAAAGGAGAGAACGCAAATGTGTATCAAGTGCGAATGTCGATCTAATAAGATCATTACTCCGAAATAATAATAATAAAAAAAACAATGTTACAACCGACTGTGAAGGTTTGGCTTTTCGAACACTCGTTATAGCAAGAAGGACCGAGTCTCCTCTTGTGTTTTGTTTTTCTTCATTCAGCTCACTGATCAACTCTCAAAATAAAGTCTAAAATACTTCTTTTAGGACTTTATTAGCGAACATGTTTGGGTTATAAACCTTTCGATCTTGAAGAATTAAAGGTCCCTGTAAAATTGCCAATCCTTTTATTTGTACGGGTTTGTAGAAGTGAATAACAAAGTCCTTAATATTCTGCCGCATTAAAAGAGGATTATTGAGAACTAAAAAGCGCAAAGAGGAACTATGCTGTTCAAGGGTCCAAACCAAGGCCACGAGATAAACCCAAACAAGGAATATGTTGTTCTCTTTGTTAATCTCAAATATATCAAATATTTTTTAAAAATTCGGTAAAGGGCAAACAAGTTCAAAGCTAGACAGCTGGGCATGAGAAACAACCAGGAAACGTAACGTGGGGCTAGGTCTACCTTCTAAACGACAAGCTTCACAAAAAAAATACTCTGCACCGGGATTTGGGTCAATATCGGAATTCGACTGTTACTTACGATCACTAACTCACTCACTCATTCACTCGCGCACTTATTCATGCCCGTAAAGTAGTGCTTTCGCCTCCTAATATATAGGTGGCAGTAGTCACAATAAGAACACGGATAATGAAATAATGTATTAGTTGCTGTAACTTTGAAATTACAAAAGAAGAGTACTCAGCTACGTACCGAGTACGGATGTCACACCACTAAGATAATCGGAAACAAGCAATAAGTAGCACTGGGAAACATCCGGTCAAAATTGGGTTAAGATCGGAATTCTATTGTAACCATCACTCAACCACTTACTCACTCACTCATCTCGACTGACGACATATTTGGCTTCGCCTCCTATAGCAGAGACATATTCGACAAAAGAACTCAAATATTCAACTGGTACACATGCTCTCATTGATAGATAGGTGTGTTTTAAGGAGGGTATCTAGAAACGGTTGAGGCGTAACGCCTTCTTCGTTTGTTCAATCCTATTTGAGTCGCGAATGAGCCGTCAAAACAACGGCTCACAACGGCCAGTCAGGGAGTGTCTGCGAAACTTCAAATTAAAAACAAGACAAAACAAAAACAAACCAGAAACAAATCACCAGGATTAAACTTACCCTCTTCTTTTAGATTGTTATTGCGCAAAATCATCACAAGTCGACTTTTTTATCCTATCAGTGTGCTAAAGGTTTTTCACCATAGATCAAGTTAAACGGCCAAGCCACGAGTTCATGGCTCAGTGATAGAATAACCGAGAAGGCTGTAGGTTCGACTTCTGTTGAGGAGCACTCGGAAGTCTTTTCCCATGTGTCACTCACCGAAGATCATCATCTTACATATAAATAAAACTGGCTGTTAGGGCTGCTAAGTTTAAACCTAGTAGATGGCGCGAGTTTTATTTTTAACGCACGTGCATTTAATGACCATCAAATATTTTCACTGAGGACTTGATTCCGTGACTTCATAGAAAGGCTGGTAGCAAAAGGTTAAAACTTATCATTCGCCTTCAAATTTTCTTTCTTTCTTTATTTCTTTTTTCATTTTTCCTATTACACGTTAATTTAATCCATCTTACTTAACTTTATCCTACTAGATGTTGCTCATGCCTAAGCTAGTCTTGATACTATTTTCGCGTTAGGGACTAGAAACATTCATACCGTTTTCATAATGGATCTGAAATTCAACAACTTTATTCTGGCACATTTTCAATAATAAAAAAACATAACTCAGTGTCTCAGACTTTACCTCACAGACCGCAGCCGCCATAGCAAGGCAGCTTAATGATCTGTCGCCGTCTATTTTGAAGAGTCATGTCAAGCACGGTTGAGGAGAAATTAAGATTAACTTTTCAAGTTCACTATTAACAATTCGTTTTAATCTTCTTCATCCTATTCTATCCTAGTTCTGTCCTAGTTTATCATCAGCTGTCACTTCTTGGGTACTACCTGGCTCCAATCATAACTGATGTATTTAATGCCTCCCTTCTACAACATTCAGTTCCATTGTTGTGGAAGGAGGCGAATATTACACCGGCTCCTAAGGAACTGCCATTTACTTCCTGTAAGCAGCTAAGGCCTATTTCTTTAACAAATATAATTATGCGTCTGTTTGAGAGACTAGTGTATAGGAATGAATTATCTATCGTGTGCGCTAACCATATCGATTTAGATTTGCTTATCGAAAGGGACATAACTCTACCAGGGCATTATTGAATTCCCAGCATAACTAGCTAAAGTGGCTTGATGGAAATGCGGACTTCGTGTGGATCTTCTCATTTGATTTTAGGAAGGCGTTTGATTCTGTGTCTCACAGAACTTTTAGTTAGTGAGCCTAGGGATGTGGATATCAATCCATATATGCTAAACTGGCTCATCAGTTTCATTAGTAATAGAAAGCAACAGGTTGTGGTAGATAACATCTCTACCGAGTTTATAGATATAACCAGGGGTGTCCCCCAGGGGACTGTACTAGGTCCAATATTGTTCTCTCTGATGATAAATGATATAAAGCCATTCAGCCCCTCTAGCGTATTGGTTAAATTTTTGGATGATATCACAGTCAGGATCCCTGTTCGCGCTGAGGATGGCGACATAGCCGAGTCTGAAGTTAATGGAGTTGGTTGAAAAGAAACAAATGACACTCAATTTGAATAAAACATAGGAAATGTTACTGAAAAGTGGTTGCCTGAAAGTTCCACCAGCTCCTCTCGCTATTGTGGAGCGTAAATCCAAGCTCAAGCTGCTGGGTGTTACTTTTGAGGATGACCCTGTGAACTGGGACTCACATATCAATCACGTGCTTGGTAAGGCCAGCAGTCGTATGTATATATTTTAAGAGTTTGTAGATTTTATGGCTACCCTAAGGAGCAATTAGATCAGCTCTTCCAAAGCCTAATTATTTCAGTCTTCACATACGCTATCGAGGTGTGGGGTTGCTGTTATTATGATAAATATCTTAAGAGAATAGACAAACTGTTTGCTAGGGCTTTTAAGTCAGGATATTATTTGAAGAAATATACTATTTGTGATATTTTAGCCACCAGAGATAGCAAACTATGGATCAAGATCACTTCAAATACCACTGCACTTGATGATCTTTTACCGCCGAGACGTACTAGGCAATTACGCAGCAGGGCCTTGATTATATATTACCTAGAGTTCGTACTTCACGTTTTAAATCCACTTTTGTAAATAGATGTCTTTTTAGCATTGTCTGCCATTGATAGTTAGTTGTATTTTCTATTTTAATCTGTTTTGTATTTCATTCTTTGTAAATAATGACACGGTTGATACATTATTGCTTTTAATAAAGACCATTATTATAATTATTATTATCATTATTATTATTATTATTATCATCATTATTATTACTATTATTATTATTATTATTTTTTTTTTTTAGTTTATTAAACGTTGAAACTATTTATGGTTTCGTTCAAGTGAAAAAAAAAAATTTAGATATCAATTAAAAGGACACCGTGACTGTGAGGCTGAAATTTAATAGTTTTTCATTTTTCACTTTGATCAATGAATAGTTTCATCTTGTTAGAACAGTGCACAGACAATTAAGGGTCATAGTACTCATGCTCCCTTGATAGTCAATCAAATTTCCATCCCTCCTCATCCAGGGTCTCATAGACAATTTCGCAAGGGATTAAAAATGGCGTTTTCCTTTTGAAATATCTGTCCTAGTTTGGGATGTGTCTGTTTTATGTTAATAAGTCATGCAAAGTAAAGAACTTCTGAAGTCGTTTACCCAATCTAGCTTAACATAAAGTATTTATCTCAGTCAATTTACTGAAAAGGCCTCTGAAATATGGATAACTAATAACTCATATGCAGTAATGATAAAACTCTGTTGAATGCTCGTCAAATCCCGCGTAAGAAGCTTCACTGACAAATACCGAAGAGGAAAACTAGTATAGGCGTGGACGTCCTCGAGTGTAGGAGGTTTGCGACCTAGTGGGTTGCCTGCAGTAAAGGCGTAGGGTGAGTTTACGTTAGGAAGCGCGCGATCGTTTAGTTAACCGGCCATGTTTTATTTGGTGTCAGAGTCGACTGTAGGTGGAGGATTCACTCCTTATTTTTGACTGTCACTGAACCCCTTAGTACAAATTGCTTTCTCTTCCTAGCCTTACGCTGTTATTAAAATCAAACATGGCGGTCAGATTTTGCTAAGAAAATACTGAGCACTCGCTCGCCCAAATCACGCCTGCTCTACAAGCTACCTATTGACGTAACTCCACAAATAGTAAATAACAGTCTCTTTCTTTACGAGGTAAAACTCATACCTAAAGTTACAATCTGTGCGTGATAAAATCTCAAATCGTTTTATTGATCTTGATAACTCTGAGATAGTTGAGCTTTAAAAGTCCGTAAGAAAAGGTAAAAAATGTACAAATGATAAAGAGAAACATGTATAACATCCAGGCAAGTAGCTCATAATGTTCATATGTAGGTTAAAATCCTTCTGAGTTAACTTTGATGCAACGAAATGATTCATATCTAAAATCACATTTGATAAAAAATGGTTGAGACTATGATGTTATTTTTACTTATCTGCAAACAAACTATAAATATCTTTAACCCTGGAGCTAAAAGAGGTTGAAAAAAAGTAAACCATTTTTTTCTTGTCGTGCAAGCTACTTCTTAATGTTTCAAAACATCATCGATATAGATTTTATCCATGCAGACCTAACCAAAGGTATAAACTACTAAGTAAGATATTAGAAAACTAAATTAAGAGCTATAAAGTATGGAAAATAGGATCAACATCACTATGCAAATTACTGCACTTGATGTCTTGACGCTAGGGAAGCAGCTACCGATGGTATTTCCTCGGTGGAATTCATTTACCTTCAAACAACTAAAGGCCACGTTATCCCATTACAGCAAATCACAATCTTAGTAAAAGCAAGGTAGAGGCGAATCTTACATAACTTATCACCTCCTAAGGCGTCCAATTAGAACACGCGAGAATCACTATTCACTTATGCGGTGTTTATTCGCCCGAAAGTTTTAAAAAAAGTTCATTGGTCTAATTTTCATTTCAGTTGATGTAGGAGCGCTGCCTTCGGGATTGGCTGAAACTAATTTATCCCAGTGGATATCTGTCCCGGTGTCATTTCCACAACGGGGATATATTCCGTTGAGATTTGACGAAACAGCACGGTCACACTTGTTTTCATACCACCAGCCTGCGCACCTTTTTTGGGCACAATCTGCAGGATCTCTATTCCAGGTACCAAAATCGAAATCTTTGTGACGAACGAGGGGATCAGAAGAATTATTCGCATCTGTTCCTAAATAAAATAAGGAAGTAGCATGATTTCAAGATCTAGATAGCGCCTTGGAGCCTAAAGATTATTTTTTGACTTAAAATAAAAAAATAAAAAAACAAGCAAACATACAGCACAAAACTTAATTCAAACAATAGCGACATGCTGTTTCGATGAAATAAGTTTTTCTTAGCATCACATTGTGCTGATTCGATTTAGCGCCCAGGGTGCTTATTTACTTTTGGTACTTCGGGGTAGGGTGCTCATTCGAGGAGGGCGCTTATTAGGGACAGGGTGCTTAATTCGTTTTAGAGAAACAGCAAAACTGGAAAACGGACTTATTGTTCCGTGTGGATCCTTCGCTGCTTGAACGACTAGCCAAGCGATCATCGCAACATTTTTAAGAAGGGATCTTTCGATTACAGGAACAGTGCACTTTCGGCGACATAATAGTTGAGAGACTGAGAGGAAGGCCACATTTTTTGTCGTAAGGCTTTGGGTGAGTAATTAATGCAAGATGGGTCAAGGCTGATCTCAATGGACATGTATTCTAACAGTACTAGTTCTATTATTGAAAAAGAAAAGGGGCTTTTCTTGCAATAGGGGCACTTATTGGAATGAAGGTGCCTACTCATTAGGAGCGCTTTGTATAGTGAGGGCGCTTATTTGCACATTAAGTTCGAGGGCCTTCGGGGTAATGCTTAAAATTGATTTTACGAGGTAGGGAAAGTCGACAATTTGATAAAACCTCGCAAGTAAGGTAACTGATCAAATTCTAATATTTTGCAAGAGGCGAGTTCAACAACTGTTTTATCGCCAACAGCTTCGGAAGCAAACTGTCAACGGAGGAGCGTGGGCTTAACTGTGCACGGACAGAATTGACAGGAAAACATAGTTTAACGGGAATACGTAAGGAAAATAAACATTGTTTGCTGGTTAAGAAGGGGTAAGGGTGGCTAGGGTGGAGGGGGGAGGGCTCTCTGACAGTATGAGGGAAGTAATATATAAAATATAAATCGCACGATAAATGGTAAAAAAAAACCGGTTTAATTACTTGTAATATTGCCAATGTACAGCCGGTACTCTACCATCTCGGTCCCAATCCCGAACCAGTCATACTCAGCATGAACAGTTTTGCCAGTAACTGCTCCCAGATCTACTCGAAGCCTGTTATATGTCTTGTTTCGCGTCAGGCGGTGTATCTTGTCCAGGCCAAGCCAAAATTCACCGACCAAATTACCAAAGCCACGTTTGTAGTCATTCCAGGTGCGGTTAAAATAAACGGAGCCATCTAGTCTTTTCTGAAACACTGCCCACCCCCCACCGGCTGTTGTTTGGTCACAATATACATTAAAGGCACCCGAACCGTCTGGGTCGATTGCATAAACACCGCTGATCCTTCGGCCGGATTTGTACAGCTCAGCACAGTTCTTAGCTGATCCAAAAATAACAATAAGAGTTAAAATGAATAAATGGTAATAAAGGTATCAACACACATGATCTTAGAGAATCTTACTTACGTCTCGCCAATGTTTTGTTCTCCATGAGAATGTTAACCTCATATCGAAGTTCAGTGATTTCCTTGATTATTTCTTCCAAGCAGACTGCAGTGTTATTTTTACAATCTATTGGGGCTGCACGTGTTGATGGCTTTATTTGAAGTGTCACAGAAAGTGCCAGAAAAAGCATGGCAGAACCTAAAGGAAAGAAAGCTGATCATAAGGTGTAAATTTACTACCTGGGGCAGATCCTGGATCAATAAGAGAGTTCGGATAAACATCTACCGATTGCATAAATGCAGTCCTGAGAAGAGGATCAAAGAAGAAGAAGAAGGTATTTGAAGGTTGACAATGGTAGATGAAGGTGGATGTAGCTAGGTAGAGGATAGCAGATGAATAAAGATGAAAATGGAGATCATTTAAGGAGGATGAATGACAATGAACGTAGATAAAGGTGGATGAAGATAGAAGAGGGTAAATGATGGTCTTTTAAGGCAAAAGGATGGTAAATGAAAGTAGACGACGGTAAAGGAAGGTAGATAAAGGTAAATGATGTTAGATAGAAGAAAATGAAGGAAGACAACGTCAAATTTAGATAAATGAAAGGAGACGAAGGTAGAGGAAGGTCGATAAAGGTAAATGGTGGTAGTGGTAGATGAAGAGATAGGAACGTAGATGAAGGTAGATGTAGGTAGATGTAGGTAAATGATGGTAAATTCAGGTTGATAAAGAAATATGAGCGTTAGGAAAGGAAAAACATGGTGAATCAAGGTAGATGATAGATGAAGGTAAGCAATTGTATATATTTGAGGGTAAACTGAACGGTTTAACAAAGGAAGATGAAGGCTAATGATGGTGGATAAAAAGTAAATGATAGTAGATAAAGGTACACGAAAGTAAATGGAGGCCGGTGAAGGCAAATGAAGATAAACGATGATAGATGAAGGAAGAGTAGATTAAGATATCTAATGAAGGTACAAGAGAGTACATGATTTAATAATAATAATGATAATAATAATAATAATAATAATAATAATGATAATAATAATACCTTTATTTAGACACGATAATGTTTAAAGCTGAACTACTTGTGTGGTCGTGTGTAAATCCAAATAAACTCTAAACTAAATAAATTCAAATGATGATGGTCTTTTAGGAGAGAGGAAAACCGGAGTACCCGGAGAAAAACCTTTCAGAGCAGAGTAGAGAACCAACAAACTCAATCCGCTTATGACGCCGGGTCCGGGAATCGAAGCCAGGACACATGGGTGGAAGGCGAGCGCTGTCACCACTACGCCAACCCTGCTCCTTTTAGCGGAAGAACGATGAAGGGAGATGAAGCTCGATGAAAGTAGAAAGTGAGATGAGTGTAAACGATGGTAGTGGAAGGTGGAACAAGCGAAATGATCGTAGATGAAGAAATATGAACGTAAATGAAGGTAGATAAAGGTAAATAGTTGTACTTGAAGGAGAACGAAGGAAGATGAAGGACAATGAAGGTCAGTGATGGCAGATGAGGGAAGATGGTGGTATACAAAGGTAAAAGAATTTAATGAAAGGTATCTGAAGGCGTATGAAGGTAAATCAAAGTAAGAAAAGTTAGATAAAAGTAGCTGGAGGCATATGAAGGAAGTTGAAGGTAAATTAAGGTTAATGAAGGTAAATAGACGTAAATGAAGTAGATGAATGTAAATGAATTTAAATGAAGGTAAATGAAGGTAAATGAAGGTAAATGAGGGTAAATGAAGGTAAATGAAGGTAAATGAATGTAAATGAAAGTAAATGAAGGTAAATGAAGGATAATGAAGGTAAATAAACGTAAATGAAGGTAGGTGAATGTTGAATGTAAATTAAGGTAAATGCACGTCGATGAACGTAGATCAAAATAAATAAATTGAAATAAAGGTGGATGTGGATAGATGCATAGGACGATAGAAGAAGGTAAATGAACATAAATTAGCGTAAATAAACAGATAAATTAATATGAGGGTAAATGAATGGAGATGTAAGTAAAGTATACTTTATATAAATACGTAAATTATATACCACGACTCTTGGTGGGTATTTGCGAGAGATCGCTCTCGCCCCGCCAATATGTTTTTGAAACACACGTTTTTGAGCACGCTGCTCGGTTCTAGCGTCTGAAATTTTTATATGTCTCTCGCTCTTAAGMCMCMKSASAYAYYWWTGAAGCTAATTTTTTTGAGACTAAGGTAGATGCTTTTATTTTCTTACAACTAAATTATGTTAAATTATCAAGTCCTGTAGCAAAGAGGAAGCTACCATTTAATGCGGATTTTACAGCCCCGTGTACCGCATAGTGACTTTGAGCCAGATCAAATAGTAAAACAGAATAAGTGCAGTACTTCTTTGGAGAGATGAATAAAGAGGGCAGAGAGCGTAATTGAGAGGAAAAAAAGGAAAGAGCTCGAGATCCGTTTCTTCAGCAAAATTGCAGAAGTAAATCCTTAAATTTAACTGCACCAAAACCCTTCCGATTACAAAACGAGGACTTCAGGGCCATAGCCATCATGTATTTTGTAGCAACATGCATGAATGCATGAATATCATTTAAAATAAAAAAAGCCGGTAAGGACTAAAACATAGCACTTAATTCGTTCTTACACCTACGAAACTCGGCACGAAGGACGATAAAACAGCTTTATACTCTCATGATACTTGTTAGGGGAGCCATTTTTAAAAGCTGACAATATATGTTAATCGAGCTTGCCACTGACTCGACGTTAACTTGCCGTCCTCAATGCAACAGTGAATACAAACTGACATAGCTGACTTCTCGCCTTATCCGGGTGCGTTAATCAAAATTACGTTATTCGACCGGCCATGTTTGAATACGGCCACCGTGGGATGGCAGAAGCAACAAAAATCTGCTGAACACTGACCACAAAAACGGTGCTTTCAATGCATGCTATCTCACTTCAATGTGATATTTTCAATCAAACGATTAAACAAGCCGATTTTGGGACTTGGAAATTGAATTCTATAGAACACAGTAGAAAACAAGGTTATACAAAGTTATAGCTAATCACTAGCGTGAAGGTTCCACTTTGCTAGATAAGCAGACTGTACTTTACCTGAACCAGCATTGAAAACCATTACGAAACGTCTAGAGTTCAACTTCTTTCCCTTGCCGATTGATGATACAGAGAACGCTTTTCGAGAGGTCTTGAATTATGCAAAAGTAAGTCTTACATGCAAATCCTCATGGTGTAACACAGTTCCTATATCTGTTTGCCTCTTTAATTTGAGAAGCTCTCGCATTACTGTTATGTTTCACGAAAAGTCCTATATTTGAAAAATTAATAACTAGATGGAGCGCAGTATTTATGGAAGTTTATTATATAGATACTGATGAAATACCAGGATTTCTCCTTTTACTAAAAAATCATATCTTCACCGCGCGCAGTGAAGATACTATTTTTATCTTTCACGTGTGAGGATATTGGTGTGGCCATGGTTACCAACATAATTACCCAATTGCTGTTTTGAAAATGAATAAAAAAATTTGTCTTTTATGTGAAAATTTCATCAGTATCTACAGAATAAACAGAACATTACTTCACCTACCTGTATCACACTACTAAATATGAGAGCTGTGGCCCTCAGGTCGTTACATCTTCTTTCTTCAGAACCGAATTAATTTCATGAGATGTGAGAGAGAAAAGTGGTCTTTGCTAAACATTTCTTTAGCATAACTTCTGAATCAAACTACAAACCGATTGCAAGCAGAACAACTTTAATTCAGCGTCATCTCTTCGCCGTGCCTGCTACGAATTACCAATACTGTTAAAGTCAAAACTAGCTTGTGAAATTGACAATCTACTTTATCACGATCCGGTGACGATAATTTTCTCCTCTTACATTACTTTGGCGATAAGTTATCGGTCGGGAAGGTAAATCTTTACTCCCTTGGGCGATTAAATTTAAACTACTTGACCGAACCAACAATGTAGGGAAGCTTTAATTATTGGGACTACTTTTTTGGTCTAAGAGAGAGGCAAAAATCTGTCAGCCATGTCCTTACCGGCGATCTGCGGAAACTGGACTTTGATCGAACCAAGAGAAAATTCGCAATAATTGCTTTCACTCGTCTTTAATGCTCCACAATATAATCACGAATGTAAGTCAATGTCGGTACTTAAAATCCAAAGGGGAATTGTGACATAAATCGAAATGACACCTCAGTTATACAAGCACTGCATCAGATGAGAAGACAATGATCGTTATTCCCGAGGGAAACTTGTATTTACGCTATTATATAGACTGACGATATATCGGAGTTTCTCCTGTACTGAAATCATGATTTCCCCTTCGCAGGCCGTAAACGTGCTATTTAAAGAATTCACATACACAAAAGGTGGCAGTTTTCCACTTCGTTAAACATACTAGTTTGTTGAGAAAAACGGCCGACAGAACTTTGAGCCAAATTAACTAGAGAAACAGAATAAGTGCAGTGCTCCTTTGGAGAGATGAGAGAAGATGACATAGAGCAATATTGGGATGAAGAAGATGAAGAAGAAGAAGAAGACGAAGAAGAAGAAGAAGAAGAAGAAGAAGAAGAAGAAGAAGAAGAAGAAGAAGAAGAAGAAGGAGAAGAAGAAGAAGAAGAATGAAGCACCCAAAGACCGTATCTTTTCCAAAATCACTAAAGAGGGCTCTTAAATCAAGTACATCAAACAAATTTCCGTCGCCGTTCCCGTTGCATAAAAAAGCAGTGATTTTAAGGCCGAAGCCATCAACATGAATGGAAGTAACTTTTGAATTAAGAATAAAACAAAAAACAAGAAAAAAGAAAAAATACTAGAAAGGACTTCAATCTTAGATCAGCCAATTGTTCTATACTTGTTAGGAAAGTTATTATTTTCAAAAAATCATCTTGTTATTGACATTAACTTGCCATTTCAAGAGCAGAAGCGAATTTAAAACTGACATTTGCTCACCCTAAAAGGATCTTCTTAATCAAATGGTTGAACGATCGAGTTGAAAACTCCATTCGTGCAGTGCTCGAAAAAAAAATTAACTTATAGGGCGTTACAGACCCCTAAGAGCGTAAAAATCGAGTGCGTCAAACAACCTAACTGCTCTATGTTGAAAGTCACCATCGAGAGATATTCCAAGACTTGTGAAGTTTGATTTCTGTTCTTTAAGATTGATAATACCGAGTGGGCTTTTAGAAA